ATACTAGTGTAGTATATATATATACACATATACTATATATACATATTATATATATATATATATATATATATATACATATACGGGTAGTATATATATATATTCATGTACGTTGTACGCTTTACACCGTAAACTGTCCTTTATTATCAATCATACATACAAATACTCATTGATCTCATTAATATACTTTTTAACGGATGTAGTACTTGGGTATGCTGTGTGTCCTGCATATCCTAGTGCTCAGTATTTCATTTTTATCATCCACAGGACCGAACACAGATGCTGAAGATCTACTGATATTAACTGGAGCTTCAATTCAGATTCTGGATCATACGGGGGCAAAACCAGAATGGAAAGGACTAGATATTGTATGTTGTCTTTTGGGCCGGTGCTATTAGTTTTCGATCCTGAATTTTGGGTTTGAATTCAATGCACATGACAGTGTAGTGTGCAGGTTTACTTTACTTTACTTCGCTTGTTTGCTACATCACCACTCTTCCGAATGCATCGAGGTACATGTTGTCTTAAACGGAGACTGTGTTTGGACGTGTACGCCGAGTGCCGAGGGTATTATCAATCGAATTCAACGCTTTTCACGTCTATGTTGCCAACGACGTCGCTTTTCCGATACTTGTTTGGTATACTTTCTGGTGTATTAAGTAATGGTACTTGCCAATAACCCTCCAACACTCACAGAAAATAATCGATCAGCCGTTTATCATAGCCAATCAGCGGTACCGCGTCACACTGGACGTTAAGAATGCTCAGTCCGAGCCTGTTGAAGGTGAGTGTCACTATGCCAAACCAGTGCTTTATCTATACCCTGAACCTTAGCTGTATACAGAGTCCATAGAAGGTGCGTGTTTCTATCCCAAATCAGTGCTTTATTTAAAACCTAAACGATAGTTGTATACAGTGTCCTGGCGGTGTGCATGGGGGCGGGTTTGTTTCTGAAGTTTTTTCCAAATCTGAAACCCTGCCTTGGCGCGACCGCTGTTCCTGGGATGTTCGTAGATGTAGGGCCAGTGTTTTTCCTCTCGGAAACCAAGTTTTTCACCTGTGCGAATGGGTTTCACCCCCCAATACCCCACCCCCATTTCTCTCCCTAAACACGACCGGCACCCTCGGGATATACACTGCTTTTTGCTGAGTTTTACTGCACATAAGTTACACATGCTCCCTAGTGCGGGTAATTGTAAAGAGGCAGGCATGTACAGGCTGCGCGTAAGCCATTGGCGACTTTGCTTCCGTGTGTGATCGTGTGTGATTCAGCTATACTCATTTATACAGACGTTAGTAGCAGAGCTCGTGATCGTGTATTTGCTGTACACATTCATACAGCATGATCGATAGCTTGCCCTGTGAAATAAAACTGTAACCTACTTCTCTCTCTCTCTGTCTACTATGGCTATGGTGTGAGTGTGGAGACCACTACGCACGCCTTCCTTGTAGGGCTTCCCTGTAGGGAGTACGCCCACAGATCCATGACTATTCACAAAATCAATCCCAGATCCAATCCCATATGCCATATCGCTTCTATGTATGTATGTATGTATATATGTACC